TCTCTCTCTCTCTCTCTCTATATCTCTCTCTCTCTCTTCATCTTTTACAATATAGCTGCGAGCTATCTATTTGAAAGTCCCACTAGCAGAACAGGACTTACATATACCGATGCATGAAATGTAGCTAGACAGCAAGCTTATCATATATAGCGTCCGCAAGCGTACCAACAGGGGTTAGCCGAACATCGTGAATTCGCATTAAGTTCCGCAGTCAATGCACAGCTGAGGATTTTGCAAACCTTTCGATATATGCATACGTTATCTCTAATAAAAATAATTTCCCTCTCGATACGATATTTTTTGCTATGCCCTTACTCTATGGGCTGTTTGAGATTTTTGTGCATAAATTTTAAGTTATACTATGATAAAGCATTTTTCTCTTATTCTAAGCGTAGATTTTTTTGCATTCGTGGTAGATATTAAATATTCGCGCTTTAATTTTTATTAACCTACGATTATTTATAGTTCTTTCCATAATGCGTACGATAAATAAGTCTATAAAATTTTGTCGTGAATTTTACCTGATCATGATTATTCTACAGGTTATATAAGATTGAGAGCATCGTAAAAACCGTTTAAACGACAAATAATTGATATATTCTAGAAAGAAAGGATAAACTTTATATTGCAATTTTTTTGTAGTACTTGTATCTGTGTATCTTTAAATTAATTTTCATAGTTTTAATAATGCAGCTTAATTAATGAGTTAAATTTTTATCACACATATAATATGTATAATGAGTATAAAAAAGACTCTAAGATGCTCTCTGTTTATTGCGCTATTTTTGAAAATTTTCTCGTACTCTCTCTATATCCGTATGCCTCGAAATACACATACACAGATATTGTCTCACACACGGACTTTTAATATATACGCGTGCGAGCGCGCGCCCACGTACGTAAACTCATACTTGCCTATTCTTAAAAGGATAATCTACGAAACCGGACGTACACGTAGTTTAACCTCGCCACAAGCCCTCGTTAAATTTTCCTTTTTATCGCGATGGGGCTGCAGACGCTTAAGCTATCGAGGTGTGAGAATAAGAGATTGTCCTGCGGCGAAAGCGTGCGCGTACCTTCCGTGCTTTTTATCCTTCCGTGTCCTCCTCGAGACTTACGCCTAACCTTACCT